GTACACCATGTCAAAGCGTGTCTACAGAAACGTACATTAATGGTTTGGGTTAGGGTTAGGGTTAGGACATGGAAGGACAGGCATGTTCACCTGTACGTGGATGGTGTTCAGCACCAAGGACAGGCATGTTCACCTGTATGTTGATGGTGTTCAGTACCAAGGACATGTGTGTTTACCTGTATGTTGATGATGTTCAGTACCAAGGGCAGACATGTTCACCTGTATGTAGATGGTGTTCCGTACCAAGGACATGTGTGTTTACCTGTATGTAGATGGTGTCATATTTGTCAACAAATAAATGAGGACTGATGGACTGTATTGAAATGCATGCTGCTGAGAATCCCATTAGTGTGGTAACCTAGCAATGACGCTGGTTTAATTACACTCGTTCTTCTACCGGGTGGAAACTTTATTATAAAACGCTTTGTATAAAAATAGGAACGGAGAAGTCATAAGGCCACAACGGAGGATACCGAGAGTGCACAGTAATACGCTGCAATCTTTTTTATTCGTAGTGTAGTTTATGTCTGGATGTATTATTTTCAGCGAATTCTGTTCGATTCTGGTCTTTTTCCGAACGCGTTGGTTTCAGATTTGCCTCTCGCTTTGTCTTTAGAAACCAAGAAAAATTAATGCGGTGTGGCCTTATTCCATTATCTATACAGCTGTCACAGTAGAGATGTAAATCCAGTAGAATTGGCAACTCTACTAGTAGAGATGCCAATTGGCATCTATACTAGTAGAGTTGCCAACTCTACTAGTAGAGATGGGAATCCTAGTATTTATACTACTGAGTTCCAATCTCTACTAGTAGAGTTGGGAACTCTACTAGTAGAGATGGGAATTCCAGTCTCTACTAGTTGAGATGGGAATTCTGGTGTTTTTACTCCAATATCTACTAGGAGTGTTCCAGATTCTCTTACCAGACATTGGAATTCTAATCTTTTATAGGACAAATGGGAATTCTTTGAGTTAGACCAGGATATTCTCCAATTCTAGCAAGGAACAATTTTTTTTAATACTAGTAGACTGAACACCTAAAGTTTCAAATTTATCATATTATAAGGTAAGCCTACATTCACAGTTACTATAAATTTAGTTAATTAAATTACTTCATATTTCAGATATCAAATTGTGCTTCTATCAATACATTCATATCAATTCTGCTTTCTGCTGCTCATCATCTGCCATATCTTCTGTTCACTTTGACATCAACTTTGGAACTGGCTTGGTATGACTGATTAGCTCTTATACAGGGTTCTAGCTAGGATTTAATTTTAGCGTAGTGGCACTGGCCGCATGATGAGGGAGAGAAGCGGAGTTTTCAAAAATTTGAGCTTAAAAAGAGGCCATTTGAGGGATACCCAAAGGGACAAAATGTTATTTCCAAGGTATGTACAACTGTATCTTTAATTACCTTCGCCAAGAAGGTTATGTTTTCAGGGGCGTTCGTGTATGTGTGTGTGTGTGTGTGTGTGTCTGTCTGTCTGTCTGTCTGTCTGTCTGTAAACACGATAACTTGAGAAGGCCTTGATGGATTGTCTTGATACTTGGTAGGTGGGTAGGTCTTGATGAGACCT